AAAGATGATACGAATTCCAGACCTTGTCTGAGAGGTAAAGCAAACTCTGTTATACCAGTATACCGCATAAGCTGAAAAAGTGAAAAATTGCATATACGACTTCTTGTCTTAGCAGGGCAGTACAGCTCTGGGAACTCGACGGTTCAACCAGAGATTGTAAAACGTGGCAACCGCAGAAGCCGAAAGTCCAGAAAAAGCAGCAAAAAGCGTGAAGTACAAAGGAGGAGATTTTTCCCGCACTAACGAGGAAATTTGTCTGACATACTACCTAGATTTATGCCAGAAATTGCATAAATTCCCCTCTCTTGCAGCAACACAGAAAAAACAGTTGCAAAATACATCAGCTGCACGGGATTTAGCCGACGAAAATGTCCAAGTTAGTAGTCAGGGCACGACATTTTCCGGCCAAAAGCGGCCAATTATCTTTCGTTTCGCTTCTCATTAATCCGAAGAAAATTGAAAAGTTGCTTTCCACATCCAGCTCTCGACGATCCGGTTACACGAAGGAAATTAATTGGGTTTTATTAAACGGGCATAAATCAAGCAAAAATTTATGAATCGTCAACACCTGGCACATGGATAGAGCGGGAAACTGCATCAACCAACTGAGGAAATGCCGGAAATGGCAGTCAAATAAACCCGGAGTTTATGCGTGTATTTATTTAAAACAAATTGAGCTGTTATTGCTCAAGCAGGAAATTGTGAGAGAAAGAATAGACGAAAATTGTGTTCATTTGCCAATGAGCAAAGCGGCTTTTTCAATTCTAAACCGATAAAAACCTGATTCTGAGTTACAGAGTGAAGAGTTGCAATAAATTCCTCTAGAGACTTAAAAAAAGGTGAAATCCGTTATTTGAAACCGGAAACAATGCAAAGTTTTAATGGTGCTGACGATCATTAAAGGCAAAGTTCAGGAAGCACGACAAACAACAAATCCCGAGCTGAATTTCGCTGATAAAGCCCAACTTTCCAGGGACTATTTAGCGCAATTATGCAACTAGCAAATGTCGCTTTTGATTAGACCAAAAACAATAATGCTCGTTCAACTTTCCAGGTCTTCGAGGAAAAGAGCCCACGCTTCTTCATGCCTCCTCACTCCACTCAAATGGGCCAAACCAACGAATTTCAGGTAAAACGATAACAATCATGCATTCGGACTACCGAGTGGTGATTCAGGGCTGATGGCTTGACCACTCCTTTACTTTTGGGGTGGACACGTGACAAGCAGAAGCCGCTATTTACACGAAATTAGAGGGTCCAAATCGGGTGTGGCACACGAACGAGTTTTCACCCCTTTCATAGCACTCGCATTATGCATGCAAAACATTATTCCTATCATTCAAACAGTTTTAATTTGAATCGTAAATAATAAATGTCCATTACCAGCGGATTACTGAATCTACCCACCGAAAGAGCCAAATTGCCAAAACATAAACATATTTTATATTTTCGTTTTCAGCGGATTTAGGCCCTTTTCATTAAAACTTTTTTTTAAGGCGCGGATACAATTTCTCAGATGTTTCCCGGATCCTTTTCCAAGATAAATGTCGGTTCCGGTTTCCTTTTTTCGTTTTATCAAAGCGAAAACTGTCTGAACCACCCTTATTGAGCCAGGTACAATGCCAGCTTGTATTTTATTTAGACAATGAAGCAAGATGAAAGTGGATTGACACAAAAAACCGCTTGCTGAAAGCCACTTTTACCACATATTTTTCATTATTTTAACTTGTGCACTCCGTTACATGTTCGTGTTCTAAACCAGTTAACTGTTCGATTTTCCTTGCAACTACTAAACTCCGAAGACAAAGTCCCAGTTTATCTGGAAGCTGCAATCTTATATGCTCCAGGGAAATCTCCCATCCCGGTCGCCAGACTTTTTCGCTACACTTACTCCGGCGTTAGGTTAGGTCCGGTAATGCGGAAGAAGATGGATCCAGGCGTCTTTTCGCGAAGAGAAATTTTTGAATTTGTAATTTACAAAACCCCAAAACCTCAATCCGAGTAAGAACTTTAATAATATTTGCCCCCGATTTAGGACTGTTCGATATTCCGGTCATTCCCGGCGTTTTTATCCAGACAAAAACGCAAAAATTGATAACGCAGAACGGAAGGTCAAATCACGTAGTCTTCTTTTATTACTTCGTTTCTTTTTGTAACTTTATTTAAGGCGCCCTTCCGGCTGGTCATTTAATGCGGAGAAAAGCGCAATTTTCCAGTGAATTCTAGCTGAAGGAAACAGTGGCTGTGGCCATCTAATTTAAAATAATGGGATAAAAATACTTACAGCATAATTCGCTTGGGATTGAGATGGATACAAAGCGGTACATACGTGAAACAGAAAAACCCTTGTTAGAACAAATGTGTAAAAAACTATATTTTAATGGGCAAAGTTAACACTTTCGCTTGCTCTATTCCTGTGAAATTTACAAGTCATTATTAGTAAAACGTTGCAACTACATCTGCGTTTCATCCTGAGAAGTAGGTGGGCATTTTTTTGATTTATTGATAAATAATTGCAACATAAAGAGGTGCAATTATTGTTCATTGCGAGAAAATTGCCATAATAAACCACCATTACCGTTGCAGTCATTATTAACGGGTTTCTGGGCATTTATCAAGCTGATGATAAAAGAAACAGGCGCTATGAATATTTACAAGATTCGATGAAGAACGGGCGCAATTCTGGCAAAAATCAGCCGCTTAACCTAAATGCTAATTCCATCACACTGCACTAAACAAGCCAAGTAATTCCATCTGAAGCTAATAAAATTCATCTTGGCTACGTAACTTGGAAACTCGTCCCATTCTTCATCGGAATTATCCGGCTTGAATCCACTTTGTACGTTTTTCTCTGGACCGGCATTTCCATAATTCTTCCAACTAGCTGCGGAATTCAAATTTTATGATGCTCCAATTGCTTTGTTTCGTAACTACCGACAGATTTGTGTCGGGAAAACAAAGCCGATTTGTTTAGGAGCATGCAAAATTCATAGTTTTCCATCTGGAATTTACGGAAAGATATTCACAGTTGGCTCGTTATTCCAAATAACAATAATCACTGCAACATCATATAGGGTAATTTCGGGAGAGATGAACCACCGCCTGAGATGGACCAGTCGGGTATTTTCGACTGAACATGGTATAGGAAGAACATTTCAACGCTACCCCGTCAACAAACGACTACCAGTCGCACTCCGATAGTAGCTTTGTGTGTAGTTAATTTTCGGGA